GGGCCCGGGCTGGGGATTCGAACCCGCCACCTTAGGTGTACATGGCTGGCGCCTTAGCCGGTTGAGCCACAGGCGCCGAGCCGGATACTTTTATTTTTTTGAGACAGAGTCTCACTCTATCACCTGGGTAGAGTACCATGGCCTCACATCTCCAGCAACCTCAAACTTTCTTGGGCTTGAACAGTCCTCTTGTCTCAACGTCCCAAGTAGCTAGGACTACAGGCATGCACCACTATACCCAGGGAGTTTTCCTATTTTTAATAGAGACTGAGTCTCACTTTTGCTCAAGTAATCCACCTGCCACGGCCTCCCAGAGTGCTAGGATTATAGGTGTGAGCCCCCATGGCTAGCCTACCTCTGGATATTTTGCTTCCTACCCAAGAGGACAGAGAATCTGCCAAAATGGAGAGGTGGGCATTGCTAATGTGTGATGACTGATAAGGAATATTGAGAGTTAAACTTCATAAGAGGTTGTAGTAAATAGATGGTTAGACTGGGAGTGATAAAGAGTTCTCTAACAGGGAAATATACCACTCAAAGCAAATTCTGTTGTAATTAATATAGGTATTAGCAGTTATCATTATGAGTTATTTTGAGTTCAGTCATATGATAATGAAAGTCGAACTGACTAATCATTTCCTATAATATATTGTTGGAAAAGAGGCCTCATGGTGCTGCTAAAAGGTATCTAGAAGCCCCATTTTCTGAATTGGTCTCAAGGTATAAGAAATCCTACTGTCTGAGGACTATCCAGCTTTTGGAATTATAACTCACTTCATATATATATCATCCAATCAATTATTATTTAGTCATTTACTAAATGATACTGGATGTTTGTAGGCTTAGAGTAGGGAACAAAGGAGGAAAAAAGATATATTGTGTGCTTCGGCATGATAGTAGAGCAAAGTTTGCAAATCAGCAGCTCTCAAGTCAAGATCACCCCACAAAAATGTTTTATTTGGCCTCTATCTAGACCTTAGTTACCCATATCTTAAAATGGAAATATTTCCAAAAATATTGCCCAGAAAAGTTTTGTATTTCCAGCTTCTTCTGAAAAAATTAGAAGGTTTGGCATGAGCCTACATTCCTTTGCAGCAGTATTACCTAGTGCTGGGTAGCCGCTGTGCCCATCACATGGGTCCTGTGCTCTCCATTTTACTGCAGCCTTCACAGCTTTGCCGAATTCATCTTCTTTATTCAGTTATATTACGTGCCTGGCCCCTGTAGGCACATTCGAGTTAGTGACCTCTGATACAGCAGAGACATTAATTACTGTTTTAAGTAATCTGTAGTCATTCAAAGGGTCGAACCTCCTTGCATCAGCTGTGGATTTCCTTGGTTTTCATAGACAGTTTTCCAAGGGGCTCCCTCCTTGGGTGATAGCAATTCGTTATTCCTCATGCATCCAAAAGGCTTCTAACTACAAGGACCATATGTATCTTATGCTTCAGGAGCCTAAGAACAAGAAAACAGAAGTGGAAGAGCAGTTAGTGCGAGAGGTGGAACGCCTCAAGGCAAAGGTAGAGGCCGGGAAAGCCTGTTTCTTAGAGAAGTACAAAGAGTGTCACCGACTTCACAAACAGATCAGGCAACTCAGGGCTGCTGCGCTGGTAGGTGCCAGAGATAAGGGGCCCCGGAAGGCAAGGGGTGTGAAAGTCTGTGCTTCTTAGATGGAGCCCAGAAGATTGTACACTCTTGTTAAGGAGAGAAATTTTTCTTTCTACTCCCAAGAGGAGGGATGCAGTGTGAAGCCAGAAACTAACATGGGGAGTGGGGGGACCCCGGAAGTATAGGCCTCAAATCAGCCATGGGTGTCAGGGAAGATTTTTGTAACCATTGAGCAGGTTTCTGTGCAGACTCAGATAGCCCTTCTTTATTTCTGCCTTTTGAGGAAGTGAAGCAGGACCAGAAGAGCCCGCAGGAGCCAATGGGGATGGGGAACAAGGAGTCTGCAGTGAGCACTGTCATCGGGTAGCCCCTCCCGCATTACTACCTCAGGGCCGGCTAGAAGCACACAGCAATTTGGGCACCAGCATTCAAATAAAAAATCTTGGAACAAAAACCACAACTAGTAGGATTAGCTTAAGTGTGTTTGTGAGGTATGCGCATGTGAACATACGCTGGTAGGACGGGGGAAACACTGAAACATGGAACTAGTTAGGTCAGCCCATTCCGTGGGGAGATCAAGACCCCAGTCTGGGGTCCTCCTTTGCAGCCTTGGACAGACTCCTTCCAGCATTCCTTCTTCCTCAGTGTAACTTGAGCCCAGATGCTTGTCCTCAAAGTGGGAGGGAATTACACCAACCTAATCCTAGTGCTTCAGGGTTCATTGAATGAGGTGTTGATTCAAAACAAAAATGATTGTTTTCCTGGTTGAGTGGGATTAAACAAGGCTCCACTGATCCATAATTCTGAGAAGTTAGTCTTCAGGTGTTCCCCAAGCTTACTTTTTCTCTCTTTGATCACTTATACTCCTAGCTAAACCACAAGAAATGGCATCCTGATGCCAGCTCATGCCTTCAGGCATTTGATTAAGTCACTTTTCAGTAATTCAGTGCCCTGCCCATAGTACCTTCCTCCCTGTTGCCTTCTCACTCTTCCAGCCCCACCCCTTCAGAAGGCCAGCTCCTCTGCAATTTCTTACCTTCAACGCAGTTTGTCATATGTGATGCTAATCTTAATTTTTTTTATTGTTGACAGGACGAGAACTTTGACCTGTCAAGAAGACTGAGTGAGAACAAGATTATATATGATGCTCTGCAGAGAGATAAAGAGAGACTAGAAAAAGAAAATGATGTAAGTATGTGAAAGAAAATAGAAAGCCCTAAGGTTTTAAGGGGAAGGGGTGTGGTGACCCAAAGATGTAGTAATAGCAAGTTAAATTAAAAGGATCTTTTTTTTTTTTTT